GACCTCTAAGGTCCCTTTCTTCTCTCAAAATGGATGATCCTATGCAGCACAGCCAACATCATTGGGCTCTTCAAAGTATATAGCTATAGCATTAAATCCAAGTTTAGTCTTTCCATGAATGTCACATGAAAAAGACTATCATTCACAAGCTGGCCTCTTCAACTATACCTACATACAGATGGCAGAGATGGAAAACTAAAAACTAATAATATCTGAAAATTAAGAACAGCTCTGTATGAGAACTCCAGGCAAGTCACTTTTCTCTTACAGTCCTCAGTTTCCTTATCTGTAAAACTGGAGTTGGATTTGATAACCTCTAAGGTCCCTCCATTTTATGATTCCATTATTTAACCTTTCAATGCACCAGGCTACTTTAATTCTATAAGGTTGTAAATGGCAGAGGAGGTTCAAAACCACATGGGTAGAGAGGGAATCCCTCTCTAGGAGTTCCCTAAACTACTGAAATCACAGGTCCAGACAAAAAAAAATGTAAGTATTAAAAATAAAATCTAAAAGTCCTTCCTTTTATTAAAAGAAGCAGATTTTGGCTTAACACAAGAGAAAATTCCCTAACAGTTCAAGTTGTCTAAAAATAGAATAAGCAGTTTCGTGAGGCAGTGAGTTCTGCTGGATGGAAATATTCAATCAAAAGTTGGATGACTAGTCAGGAATATTATAGAAGAGGAAATTCACATATTAGATCCCTTCAAAGCCCTTGCAGGCCCTCAAGGAGACATCAGTTTCAGCTAGATTATTTTCAATAATCGGGACCACTTCATTCCAGGCACTTTACTAAGTACTAATGATACAAAGGAGTTGGGTTTTTGCTTTCGTTTTAATGTCACAGTCTCTGCCCTCAAGAAGCTTATATTCAACCAAGGACTGGATATGATATGATTATAAATAAGTATAATAAGAGGGGGAAATGTGATGGAGGCAAAGGAGTAATCCAGACAAAGCACACTAAGAAAATTCAAGAAGGAAGAGAACATTTTCAGCTGCAGAGGGGGAAAGGAAAACCAGGGTAAGCTTCCCCAAACAGGTGGCAGCCTGGTGTATTGAAAGGTTAAATAATAGAATCACAAAACAGAGGTACCTTAAGAGTTGAAGGAAATGAAAGGCTCTGAAGGGGTAAGATAGGATATAACCTAGAAGAGATAATGCGACTGCGCTGCAGGAACTCCCTCTTCCAATGCAGATCTTCTCCTTCTCTGCAGCTTAGTCTGTGTTTGTTTAACTAGTTAACCCACTACTACTTAAAGTCACCTAGCAGAGAACAGAGCCTTGAGAGATTATTATGACATAAGTAAGGGGCATTTCAGGAAAGAAGTAAAGAAAAGTTTACTTAACTTCTCGAAAGTCTGGTTTTCTTCTTCTCTCTATCCCCATTGCAATCCCACATGTAAAATGTTAAGTCACCTCATGACATGATTTAAAGGACAGCTAATAATTTTATAATATACCTAACAATATTACATTAAATGCTAACAAAATGTTTAGTGAGTGGTAATAACCTTCCATTTGGATGTTAAAGTCCCTATAGAATAGCAAGTTAAATCCTGAAAACAGAGCAAAATGAGATTTTGCCATCAGAAATCACAGCATTTTTTATCCTATTCTAAGATGGCTGTAGGAGGAAGGAAGAAGGAGAAAGAAGGAGGGGTTGGGGAAGGAGACAACACCTAAAGCACCAGAATGTGAAACTGACTATGAAGAGATCTCTGGAATTCAGGTGAGTCTCACAAAAACAAAAAAAACATATCCGCGGAAATGTCAAATGCCAATTAAACACACTTCTTAAAAGGAAAATCCTGAGGTTATCTAATGGAATGCATGCTGTTTATTCTGGATAGTCACCTCAATAATCGACAAGCACTGATTAAGCACCTTCTACACGTCAGGCACTACACTAGGCACTAGGGATATTTTTTAAAAAATGAAACAGTCACTGCCCTCAAGGAAAAGAGGCTATTTTTAATGTCTCATAGAAAAGAAATGGTAAGAATTTCAACCTATACCGTTTTTGATGCAGTCATGACCTACCAAGAATCTCCATGAAATTTCTAAGATCTGCATGAAAAGTCCTGTCTCACTACCCACACCTGGGATCTCCTCTCCGTACCATCACATATTATGGCTATGTACCATTTGTACAGTGAGTCAGCATTTTCCTGGCACTCCTTAGCACGTACTTGAGGGCCACAAAATGGGGGAAGAACAGGGAAAGTACAAATAGTACAAATCTTCAAATCAAGATTAAATTCTATACTTTTCTTTCTGAAGACTTCTACTTAACAGCCCTATTGATAAATATGCTTCTCATTTTCATTAAAGAGGCCAACCTTTTTCATTGGGCCTAAGATGGATTCTAAATCACTCCTGATTTAGAAAGAGGAGAAAGAAAAAAAATCTGAAAGCAAAAGTGCATCTTTTTCTAGTAGGTTAATACAGGGCATACTCTCCAGGTTTGAGAAGAGGGGGATTTGGAAAGTAATTCCCGATTAAAGTCCTGGGGGAAAAAGTAATTATAGAGTGTCTGATAGTGTGATTTTCCATGAAGAAACTTTATTTGCTCAACAATTAGCATAGTCAATCTAATAAAATATGATCAACCCTTGATGGTATCAGTGTTCCACACCATTAGCAATAGATAAAATATGAAAGGAGTCTGTAAACACATCCTGCTATTACACAGGTTTAGATATAATGCAGGTCAAATCATATCCTAGTAATGAGGGCTATCTCACGAAGAATGCTCAATATTGCTCTTCCTTGAGACTGCATAGGAATTTGGGGAACTGCTTCTAGACATGAGTGGTTTACCATCCTCTAATAATACTCCCTCATTGGCCAATGAGCTAAAAGAACTGATGTCTCAGTGGAAATTTAAAAGAAAGTGACCCCACTCTAAGTTCTCTCTTCTCTCCAAGCTACCAATAATTTAATTGTTGTTTCTAGCCCTTTCCTGAAAGCAGCAGGGAGGGAAGGTTTCCCTAATTTCCATTATCCCTCTCTAATGGTTTGAGCACATGGCATCCAAAGCATATATCCAGCCTAGCAAAGCTTAAGCCTGGCTGTGGGTTGCATCTTGTGTGTGTGTTCTTTCCTGATCTTATGCAAATAAGTATCTAGTCAGAGAAGGCTGTGTCCATGTATGACAATGACCTTATGGAATCCAAGAGGTCCAAAGACCCTGCGTAACACAAGCTCAGAGCCTACTAGCGGTAAGGGAAGGTATCTCCAGCAACTACTCCATTACTCTTGGAGGTGACCACTACCAAGAGAATTGACCCAGGCCTGGACTATTCTATCGGACATCATGGACTAGAAGCTGATTGGACAATATAGAGACAAGATGAAGTAAAATGTCTAATTAGCAGTACTGCAAACTGCTTTATGTTCTGATGAGGTTCAGGTATCAGCCTCCTAAGAGAGTATAATAGTAGTTCTAAGTTAAATTACTGAATCCTGTTTTGAGTTACATCAATGTGCAATAGAAGTCTTTTTGCGTCCATTACCATTTATTTTGCGTGTAGGAAATATATAACCAGGAGGTATCCTGGTACAGCATGTAATGAACAGTGGCCATAGATACATCTAATAACCAAAATGAGTACAAAATACTTATATAAATGAAAAAGTACTTCTGTAAATAGTACTATACCCAGTTAACTCTTCCAATAAGCATTGAAAAATAAGCATGCTTGAGAGCAGAGATATAAAAAGAGCAGGAGCTCTTCCACAGGTTCTTTCACTCATATTTTTAAACCCTAGAAAGAGATCCTAAACTCAGTTTTTCATTTCCCTACCAATAAAATGGCAATATCTAGACTGTAATCATTTACCTGTATTTCAGGTCACTTATAAGAACAACACGTAATGTTGGTTAAGCACTAGAAGAATACTGTTACGCTTAACTGAACTGGGACATATAACCATACATGTAATCTTTAATAAAAAAAGAATGTCTCCATTTCCTACCCCAATAAAGAGACACGGATTTCCCTTTGCATACATATGTATACTTTTATTTATTTAGTCATTCAACAAATAGCACCTACCATATGCTGTATAACTAGAGAAGATACAAAAAAACATAAATTCCCTACCCTTAAGAAGTTTACTCCCAAAACATCATTTGTTTAATGGGAAGCATTTTGACAGATATAAGATTTCTTCATTACTTGGATGCCAGATATTCCTATAGTTCTATGAATGGTTCACAGAGATTTTCATTTTAATCAGTAGCACTGTCTAAACTAAATCCAACAACTCCTCAGTTAATGCAGATAAGATTAGAATGTTAAAATAAACTGAGGCTCTTACTGAATGTAAGCCAATGGATTCTATTCATAATCATATCCCCCAAATGTTTTTAATAGCAATTTGCTTCCTGCTGATCAATTAGTAGAGAAATGAATATTTTAAAATTTTTGCAACTTTTTGAGGATTAACATTCAGTTAAGTAAGTTAAGAGAGAAAAGCTACCAAGCAGCTTCTTCAAACAATTGTGTGTTTGTGTATGTTTATGGGCATGTTTGTGTGCTAAAATCAGTTTTTTAGGGAATGTTCTACCTCACAAGGTATTTGGATATGTAAAATGTTTACATGAATAAAGCATAATTTAGGCACACATTCCTTTACATACAGTTCAGTCATCAAACCCAACTCTAAGAAACCACCTTCTTGATGCATGGGCCATGTTTCAAATGTTAAACCTAAAAGGCTCTGAGAACACTCTAATTTCCATTTTTATTCCACATTCACACTTTCCAAATCCCCCTCTTCCCAAACCTGGAATAAAACAAAGAGCATGAACAATACTCCCTAATATTTCCAAGATTAATTCCCTCCACTTCCTTCCCCTTGAGATGAACTTTCCAATAAAAAACGGTGCAATAACTTAGGTGAAGTCAGATTCCTGCAGAATACTTCATTCCAGAGAAATGCTCTTTGTGGCTGCTATTAGTGATTTCCTTTTGCACATGAGATCCCCTTACCTTGTTATGTTTCTGCTGGTGTCTTGCCTTAGTATCCAGGACATGGTAAGGGCTCTCAGAATCTTGATTGATATAATATACCAGTCTTGAAGGCAGGGTGATCTCTTTCTGCACTGCATTACTGTAACTGTTATTATTGCGCCTGCTGCCATTCTGTTGAAATGCATTCTCTTCATCTGCCAGAACCCCGGCAGTTTCCTTTGAAGTTTCATTCCAGTATGAAGCTGAGGAGGGGAAGGAAAACACATACACACACACACACACACACAATAAATACAAGGTCACTAAATTGCATCTTGCTTTGTAAAAGAATCAAAGTTTTTCTCTCTATCAGAGAACATATGGGAAACACAACAAACCAAAGTTAGTACATGCAATTGGTTTGGGTAATATAGTTAATAGGGCATTTAGTAATACCACTCAATAAGGAATTGTTGGCTTTGATCTGTATTTCATGTGTGTGTATAATATAAATGCTGCCAAACCTTTCTGCCTATGAGGGGGCAGGGGAAAGAAGAGAAGCAGAATAGGAAAGATTGACTTGATGGAGAATAATAATTCTTCATCCTTTAAGGACATGCATCAGAGCTCTGACTCTCACCCCCACCCCCAACCACCCACCTAAGTTACACACAAGCTCAACTGTAACTAAATATTCTACATATAGTCTGAAAGCTGAGACTGCCACTAAAAGAAGTTGAATGTTGAGTTCATGTGTAGAGAATGTTATTGATTCCCCTTACAGAATGAATAATTTGCCTTCTTTTAACTTTGAGACTGCACAAAACCATCCTTGGAAAGCCAAAGATGTGGGCTGCCTTCTGATTTTTTTTCCTACCAAAACCTGGTTTCCTCTTCCAACTATTTTTCAGCTATCATTTTGTTGGACAAAGTTACGTTACTTATTATTCATAATAATAACATTTTAGAAAATAAAACAAGGGCAATTAGCCATAGTCCCAAAGTATCCACCCAAACTTCAACACCACTATAAATAAAATCTGATGGGAATTGGGGAAATAACCTCTCTAAACTAGGATTATTATCTGCCATGAATTCACATTTATGTTCCAAAAGGCAAGAAGTTATTTGCTCTTTCACTTAATTCTTTTTTTTTTTTGATCCCACCAGTTTCCCCTTCTGTAAGTTGCAAATATTTTTTCTGTAGGGAACCGAGGCACCGAAGTCTCTTTCAATCGCACCAAGGGTAACAAGAAAGGTTTAAAATGAAGAGAACTGAAATGGGTTTTTAAAAGTAAATGGGATTGGGATGAATTTTAAGAATGAGAGGATTGGGAAGAGAACAGCGAAGGGATGGATGCTGCGCTAAGTGTCCTGAATGCACCTATCCGCATGCCCTTAGGTTTTCTCTGCAGGACTACGCTGAGATGGCAACGCGAAGGGCACTCAGTGCCATACCCACCGCTGGCTGCAGCAGCCCCCCAGGGCTGGGACCAGAAGGAACCGGAGACCAGCTGCAGCAGGAGGAGAAGGCGGAGGCGGCAGAGGGTATGCAGCAGCAAGGGAGGCGGCTGCCAGCAAGAAGGGAAAGAAGTCGTGGTGGTGCCGAAGGAAGAAGGGGAGGAGGAGGAGAGCAGGCTGCAGCCTGGGGAGGGCTGCCGCAGGGCGCTGATGGCAGGCGGCTTCATGGCTCATAGCTCCAGGGCGCCGCTCTGCTGTCAGCCAGGAGCTCCGGGCTCGGGCTGCGGGGCGCCTCTGCCCCACAGGGCGGGGAGGCTGCGGGCGGATTACACGGGCTCTTCCCGCATGGTGCCCCTCGGGGGCAAGTCGCCGTTGCTGTGGCCGCTGGGGTTGAAAAGGGGCACCAGGCAGGCTCGGCACTTGGTCTACTCCGGCTGGGCGGCGCCCCCTCCCCTCTTCTCTGTGCCCCTCTCAAGCGGCTGATTCTCCTGAGGAGGGAGAAAAGAGCTCCCGCCTCTGCGCGCACCTGCAGGAGCTTCCGAAGCAGCTTCCCCGCGCAGCACCGCGGATGCTGCTGCTTGGACCAGTGATGGGGTCTGCAGCCACTGCCTCTACTGCTCTTGCTGCTTTTGATGCTGCTGCTGCCGCCGCCGCCGCTGCGGCTGGTACTGGTGCTAAGGGCGCGCGCGCGTGCCAGAGGGCCCTCCCAGGTAGGGGCGCGCACGGGGGGGGGCGCTGGGAACGCGCGCGCGCCTCCCCAGTTCTCTGCCTAGCGCGGCAGAGTGAGCTCCCGTGCCGTCAGAGCGCTGGGGGCCCCCTCACTCGGGTGCTGATGCTGCTGTTGCCTGGCATACGTCGCACTGCGCATGCCTCCTCATGGGGGGTGGGGAGGTGGAATAGAAACACAGCAGAGTGATGCAGCATCCCGATGCCAGCCTCAGAAGTAGATGGGAGCAACCCCCCCCACACACACACACACACAATGGGCGGGAGAGCATGGACGTTTTAGGGAGCAAAAGAAAGGCGGAGGAGAAGAAAGGGACCGGGAGAAAAACGCAAGAAAGTGCTAACACACTAGAGTAGAGGATGATCTTTTGAAAAGCAACCATTTCCACAATACGTGGGAATAACCTCAACCCACCCACTTCCTTTATTCCCTCCACCACCACCTCAGGAGACTTAGTGCTAAGCATTTTCCTTCTGACTACCTCCGTTTCCTTTCCCCAATCTCCCCTCCTCATGCCCTCTTTCCTTGCAGCTGGAAATGTAAAAATAGTGCTTCTCTTCAGCTGCCCGACGGTGGCGGGCGCGATGGGGGACAAAGGGGTGGGGGGGAAGGGGGGAGGAGAAAATAAGGGGAAATCACGTTTGCCCATTGCAGGCAGGAGTGAATGAATGGTGACAAGCCGGCTGCGCTGGTGGTTCTGTCCTAATGCGCAGGAATTCCGGGAGTTGAAAAGAGAAGCATGGGAAGTCCGTCTTGGCCTGGCGTGCCCGAGCCTTCCCCCTCGGATCCCCAACCCCTGCCAGGGGCGCGGGCTGCGCGCGGGATCTCTCTGGCCCTTCGCAGTCAGAAGGGACATGGCTCAAAAGTTTAGAAACTGATTGGCGGCTACCTCTAGGGAGGAGCGATTTCTAAAGGAAGAAAACACACACACACAACACCCAAGTGTGTCCTGGGGAGAACTCCAAAGACTAAAAATAGGAGAGTGTGACAGCTACTTTAGGAAATCGTGCTGCTCGGAGGTATGTTCAGAAGCGGTTCCTTTTCCTGATTGTGGACTGCAGCTGCTTCTCGACAACACCCAGGGGAGCATCTGTTCAGAGGTGCCCACGCTTCAAAATCAGAGATCGAGTTTATGGGACTAAAGCAGAAAGGAAGGATGATATTTTCAGGGTAATAGGAAGTGTAATATAATGCTAGGCTCCCGGTTTGGATAGTTGACAACATCTGGCCACTTCAAAATAGGGCTAATGGCATTTTCCTCCCTCAAATCTCAGGGCATTGCGCAGGTATTTCTCTCATCTTCACCACATCCCTCAGAGTGGGAGAAAATGTTACTGGCTGTGCTTTGCAAAGGAGGCAACCTTACCAACAACCACAACAAGCAATGATTAAGCACCTAAGGCTACCGGTAGGTACTGGGCGTTCAAAGACAACCCTGTACTAGGGAAACACAACGTGTAAACAGACAAGGAAATAACAAACTAATTTGAAGAAAGCAAGCCCTGAGGGATCAGGAAAGGCTGCATGTAGGAGATGGTATCTAAGTCTTACTTTCAATCCATCAACAAGTATTAGTTAAGTACCTACTAAGTGCTTGAAGGAAACTAAGGATTGTGTGAGCTGGCACAGAGCAAAAGAGAAAACAACGTCTATGTCTTAGCTTCCCTAGAAGGTGCGTATCTTGTTTTATCTGTTTTGCTGAGAAGCACCGAATACACAGACCTTTGCTAATACTGCTTCCTACACCTGTAATGTCTTCTGTTCCCTCCCCTGTCCCCTTTTCACTTATTGAATTCCTACCCATCTTTGAAAGCCCAAAGCAAACTTCACTTTCTCCTTGAACCTTTTCCTGATTGGCCGTTACCACCACCAATAGCAGTAATGACCTTACGAATATGACCTCACAGGGTATTTTATGACGCATTGGATTTAGAATTGGGAAACATAGTTTCAACGCCATGTTTGGTTACATAATGCTTACGTTACCTTGATCAAATCATTTAATCTAAGTGGGTCTCAGTTTCCGTCTCAGTAAAATGAGGGGATTGAACTACATCATATATAACACACATATATTTTAATTTATTGATGTGTTTGTTTTAACATTACAAACTTTTATAGATTACCCCCTCAACTCCCTGAGAGGTATCTTATAACAAAGTAAAAACAATTAAGTACAACTAATAATACAGTAATCTCATCTAAAAGTGTGTGCAGCATTCCACATTTGTAGCACTGTCACCTTAACTTTTTTAAAATTAACAAATCTGTTTTTCCCCGTCCTGTCCCATCCAACTGAAAAAAAGAAAAGAAAAATAAATTATTTGTAACAAATATCCATAGACAAACAAAACAAATTCTCTCAATAGGGAATATATATATATATACATATACACACATATATATACACATACATATCCACATATGTATATATAAATCATTCTATACTCTAAATCTATCACCTCTCTGTCATGGACAGCATATTACACAGTCAGTCCTGTGAAATCATGAATGGTCCTTATATTGATCATAGCTCTTACAGCCTTCAAAGTTGTTGGGTTTTACAATATTGTTATTGCATAAATTGTTCTGGATCTGCTATTTCATTCTTTAGTTTGTAAAGTCTCCAAGATTGTTCATTTTTGTAATATTAGTGCCATAGTGTAATTTGTTTTGGTTCTGCCTTACTTCACTCCACATTGATTCATATGTCTTCCCACTTCTTTAAAAAATAATCTATGTATTAATTTCTTTCAATAGAATATATTCTTTAATAATATTCTTTCAATATAATAGTATCCCATCACATTCATATGCCACAATTTATGTGGCCATTTCTCAGGTGATAGATATTTACTTAGTTTTCAGTTTTTGCTACCACCAAATGATAGCTGCTGATAAATATTTTTTGCATATATAGCACATTTTACTTTCCCTTTTATCTCTTTTGGGTATATGTCTAGAAGTAATATAGCTAGATCAAAAGGTATACACTGTTTAGTAAAATTTTTGTATAATTCCAAATTGCCTTCTAGAATGGTTGTACCCATTCTCAGGTCCACCAATAGTGCATCAATGTGTCTGTTTTCCTACAGCCCCTCCAACATTTCTCATTTTCCCTTTTGTCATCTATGCCAGTTTGATGGGTGTGAGGTAGAATCTCAAGGTTGCTTCAATTCTCTAATAAATTAATAAATCTCTAATTAATATTAATATGTAGTATTTTTACATGGCTATCGATAGCCTGGGTATCTTCCTTTGAGATCTGTCTATTCATATCCTTAGACCATTTATCAGTTGAGGAATGGCTCTTATTCTTATAAATTCGAATCATTTCCTTATATATCTTGGAAATGAGACATTTATGAACGAAACTCATTGTAAAGATTTTTTCAAGTTAATTGTTTTCCTTTTAACCTTAGCTTTATTGGATTTGTTCATGGGGGAAATTTTTAATTTTATGTAACCATTATTATCCATTGTATCTTCTGGGATCCTCTCCCTTGTTGGGTCATGAACTTCTCAACTATCCATAAATCTGACAGGTAATTTTTTCCATGTTTCTCAAAATGTGTTTATCATATGATATTTTATATCTGGGCCACATACCCATTTGGAGTTATCTTTGTGTAAGGTCTGATATATTGGTTTAAATCTCATTTCTTTCAGATTGCTATCTAATTTTCTCAGAAGTTTTTGTTAGCCAATTGATCATTCCAGTCAGCAAAGTCAATATCCTTCTCTACAATACTGTATTCTTTCTATTGTCTCCACTGTCAAAATTGCTTTGGCATTGTTTTCCTTAACATTATGGACTCACTAAGCCTAGTTACTCTCTCTTTTGGGCATTTTGACCTAACATAGCCCTCCAAAAGTTCCCAGTTATCCACAGGACCAGACAAACTTCTGACCATGATCCTCACAGCTTTCCATCAGTTAACAAAAAAGCCTGATAGAAGAGGAGTCTTGTCTTTGCCGTCTTCAATTTCAGGGAAGAAGAATGGGAGGGGGAAAAAAGTTTAAGGGAAAGATCTGGAACAGGAAATGGAGCAAGATTAGGGGAAGAAAGAAGAATTTGAAAATCATCTTATATACCCATGATAAGATAAACTAGAGACCAGCTGGAGTTTCTTGAGAGAGTAGATAAAATACGAGACCCAAAAGAAAGCCTGGAATTTGGGAAATAACAGGAAAGCAGGTAGAAGAGTTGAAAAGGTCACACAGAAGAGCAATTACAAAATAAAGAGATTTTACCAATAAACTAAGGTCATTGATTTAAAGTTGGAGGAGACCCTGGAAATTTTCAAATCCACTCCCTTCATCTTATAGATGAATGAACTGATTTGCCTGGGGTCACAGAGTTAATAAGTATGTATGTCTAAGGCAGGATTTGAACTAAGGACTTTCTGACTCCAAGTCTAGTGCCCTATCCACCACACCACTACTGCAGACAAGTCCAAGAGAATGAAAATGAGGTAAAGCAAAAGCATGAGTAAGGTCCAGGGATGACAGTCTGAGAACCAAGGAGAGCTAAATGAGATAAAATAGTGCCAAAACTTTATCTGTCTGCTTGCAGGTTTTTCATTCTATTCTTTGGATGGGTGTCACCAATACAAAAAAAAATGGAACAAATGGTGATGAAACATTCCTGGGTCACTGGCATCAAAGTAAAACCCTGACAACTATGGATGTTACTCACTGGTATCTTCTGAGCCATACCAGATATGATTTAGATCAAGGGTGGGGAGCCTGCGGCCTTGAGGCCACGTGAGGCCCTGTAGGTCCTTACATACAGCCCTTTGACTGAATCCAAACTTCACAGAACAAATCCCAAAGGATTAGATTGGATTGGATTCAGTCAAAAGGCTGCACTTGAGGACCTAGAGGACCACATGTGGCCTCAAGGCCACAGGCTCCCCACCCCTGGTTTAGGTTATCATTTTTCATCACCACT